AGTTGACTCTGACTCATGGTGACCCCGTGTGTGTCAGGGTAGAATTGTGCTCCATAGGATTTTTGGTGGCTGACTTTTTGGACATAGATTGCCAGGCCTTTGTTCCAAGGCACCTCCCAGGGACTCCTGGTATAATATGCACCCCTTCAATTGATCTCCTGTGGTGGGCTGCCCCTTGTCTTTAGATTCAACATTCCTTCTTGGTTTCTAATTATGTGAAGAAAAAGGGCAGACTCATGAGTCCTTGAAGGGTTGGATCCAGTGGCTTAATTAATCAATTGAAAAAAAAAAAAAAAAAAAGACTGCCCTCCCTTCTCCCTTGAGCAAAGGAAGTGGATTTGGCCCAACAAGGACAGGCTCTCAGGTGGAGGGGAGAGGGCGGGCAGTGTGGCCCCTCTGAGCAGCTGTGGGATGGGGCCTGTACCTCACGGGCACCAGCAAGGTGCTCTCCAAGGCAGAACCACGGACACGGGTTTGCAGAAAGGCCTGATTTCCAGGAGGGGTAAAACTGAGTTGTTGCCACAAAACTGTTCAGTAGTGGTGGATTTAATTTCTTTTGTACGAAATTTAATTGACACCTAATGTGAGGCAAGACTAGTAGTTGGTATGGTAGCTCCACCCCCAAAAACAAACAACACATCTTTGACCCACCTGCTCCCATGCCAGCTCAGCATTTCTTCCCTTCACCTTCATTGCTTCCCCGCCGCTTGGCTTCGGCAGCCTTTCATCTGCTGGGAAAGCTCACTGGGGCATTCTCATGGCCTTTGGGTCCCCGGGCAACACAAGCGCCACAGGAACTCAGTGTTTCTGCTGCCTGGGCCTGGAGCTGGGGCTTCTCACTGAATTGTGAATGGGGACATATAGCTGTGTCCTGGCACACAGTAGGTACTCAGTAGAGGTATTGGTTCTCTAGAGGGATGAGGAGGGATTTTGTACTGCTTCATGGCTGGATGGCAGGAATCCTGGGAGCTGTCTGCAGCCTGGGTGGTGAGGGGGTGGGTATTTCCTGCTGCTGACCAGCCTTGCTTGGTGTAGAAGCAATCTCTAATCCCACAGAGCCTCCTGCCATGACACTCACAGAGAGCAGCAGTGGTTCCTGCCAGGTTCTCCAAGATGCTGATCCCTCTCTGATATAATAAACCGCCTAGCTACAAGCAGCCCATCTCCAGCTCTCATTGCCACAGCTGGGTGCACTCAGCCACCGCCGACCCACTCAACTCTGCCCCAGGTTCCAGGGCAAGGCCCTTTCAGGAGGAGCCCAGCTGGTGACTCAGCCTCGCTTCTCCATACTGCTGCTCTGACTCCCCGTTCATATCCTGGCTCCAGGAACCAGACTTTTTATCATCCCTGTGGTTAAGCCCTCACGTTGGATCTTGGTTTCATCAGCTTTGTCCCTCTCCCGTTTTTCTGCAGCTGGGGCTGTTCCTTCAGCCCTCCAGGCATGGAATTCTGCCCCTAAACCCTAGCACAGGACGTGGCCCACCTTCTGGCCAGTCTTCCCTGAAGCACCTGGGAGCCGGATCTCTCCACACTGTTGGCTCCCTGCCTTCTCAGTGCTGCGGCTTCCCCAGGACCCACCCCCCTGTACCCAGGCTGCCTGCCTAGCCATTCAGGGAGAACGTCTAGATGTCTGTCAAACAAGTTTCCTAACCTGGCTATTCTCACACACTCCCCTCAGGCCTGGCCCGGCCTGGGCAGCTGGACTTCCTCCCATTGTCTGCAGCCCTGTGGGTGTGGCTGGGCCTGGCACTGGCCCTGCCCTGACCTGAGCACTGTTCTGCCAATTGGTGCAGGTGGTGCAACTGAGGGTAGATGGTGGTGTGTGCAGACATTTGATAATACAGGGGTGGGTTGTGGGCCCCCTCTTAGTAGTTTAATCAACTCTTCTTTGGGGTGCTTTAAAGAGATAATACCTGTCACCCCCATTTTAATAACTGGACAAGTTGAGGTGGGGTTCATTTACTTGCAGCAGAGACTATTCCAGGGGGAGGTAGTTGTGGTCCCCAGGACTATGACTTTGAGCCTCCAATCTGTTTTAAAAAATCAAGGGTTTGAGATCCATACCGAAAAAAAAAAAAAAAAAAACTCAAACCCATTGCCGTGGAGTTGATTCCAATTCATAGCGACCCTACAAGACAGAGTAGAACTGCCCCATAGGGTTTCCAAGGAGCTGCTAGTAGATTCGAACTGCCAACCTTTTGGTTAGCACCCTGAACTCTTAACTACTATGCTATCCCAAATTTAAAAAATTGACTTTGCAGCAAATCTGTAGGATGCCCCTTAGTTGCACCCTGTGGGTGAGAATACTTGTCTTTTGACAACATAACCAGGCCGGCATTTAATCACCCAATGACCGCAAATTCTTTTCTAAATGGAAGCACTGCACAGCAAATATGTAGCTCATTGGCAGAAGCAGGTTTTTGGCACGAACGACTGTTCTTCACTTTAATTTCCATCCCAGCAGAAGTCCTGCAGATGATGTGGGAATGAAGCTGGCCCTAGGAGCCTGAGGGTAGACTGGCATGTGAGGAGCGTGTACCTTACCCACGCCGCCCTGGAGAGCTCCAGCACGCACGATGTGCAGAGAATAAGCATCTTGTTCAGGAGGCTTGGTTGTACCCACTCAGTCCGAGAAGCATGTGGATGCGTAGGGCAGTGAGAGCATTTGAGGCATGCTTAGACGGAGAGGCAGCCTGGCTGCAGCACCCAGTTGGAGCAGGGCTTGGGAAGAGAGGCAGGAGGGCGGGTGGGGCTGAGCGTCTTAATTCCAGCTCAGTCTTCTTATCTCTGGATAAACAAAACTCTTAATGGGGAAGTCAATGCAGAACCAACATTTAACCTTAAAAGACAAATAAAACTTTGCAACCATTGGTACATCTATGAATGCTTTAGATAGGTGAAGTGATCAGAGTCACTGGCAGTGAAATGCCATGGAAAGCACACAGATTCTAGAGCCAGACACACCTGTTCAGATTTTTGCTCTACGGGGAGTCCCCTCAGGTTAAGAACGTCCGACTTATCTACAACTGTAGTTAGAAACCAACCCCCATAAAGCCTGTCAGGAAAATATTGACTCGGTGTTTGGGCCCCCAGGCTCTCCTGATGGCCGCGCTTCTCTTGCTGTGCAGGTGCCACAGCGGGTCCTTGGGTGGCTGCTGGTGGCAGGCAAGCCCCTGCCACAGGGTGCGCCCAGCCATGGCCCCCAGCAGCGAGTGGAGAGCCCACATGCACTCACCTCCCTCAGAGCTCGGACAGGATCGGCCCCACTGTCCTCATGCCCTGTGCACCGCCGCTCTGCTCTGCACCACAGGCCTGCAGGTGGTGGCAGCTGGTGACCAGGTCACCAGCGCCGTGCTCTACATGTTCTCCAAGTACAACCGGTCAGTGCACCACGCTGGGCACACAGCCTGGCCTCCGCAACACCGCCTTACCCAGCTCCGCCGTACCCCATCCTGCCGGGCCCTCCGTGCTGTGCAGCCTGGGGCCGTCGCAGCACCTCTCTGGGCTTCTGGGTTTCCCCTACCTTACACATATGGGATTTTACTATTGCAGCGGTTCATGGCCTTTTGGTGGCTGGTGGTGGTGGGTGGGTGAGGCAGTTTTAGATTCCTGACCTCTGTATGTCTATATGGTTTCCGGGGATCCATGGAGAACTTCAGATTGGGGTTTTCTTGAGTCCTCTTCCCAACCCTTGGGCCCTGGGCTGGCTCTCAGCACATCCTGAGCGGCACTTTCTCCCTTGCACCCCAGGCAGGGGCCTCATAGTTGGTGGTGGGGTTGACAGAGCTGGTGAGGAGCTGACGGAGGAATTGTACCTCTGGCCCCAGCACCATCCTACCCGTGCCCCCAGTCCTCCTTGCCTCTGCTGAGAGGGTTCAAAACTCAGCAGAAACGTGACCCAGTGGAACAATGCAGATTTTTAGTTAACAGTCTATAATAAAGTATCTAACTGTTCTCAAAGATTTTACAGAACAGAATCTTCTGAGTATTTTGGGTAACATTTGCCCCGTAGGTATCTCCTCAACTGTGGAGAAGGTACATAGAATGGTTGGTAATAACAAATGGGCGCTACTTTTCGACGTGCATCAAAACATTATTATTATTATTACTGTATTATTATGTTAAAGATGTTTTAGGGTATCTGGAAGTGTTTCTTTAATTTTTTTATGCATAGAAATGTACACTATATACACAAGACAAACATTTGACTAACTAATGTTAGATAAGAACCGTAGCTAACTGTTCTGACTTGAGTACAAATTTGACTTAAAGACAGACTTAGGGACAGAACTGTTGGTAACCCAGGACGGCCTGTATTCTCTTCCTGGCCTTGTGACCTTGGGCAGACACTTACCTCCCCCATGGGAGAATGATGTTTACTTCATCTGTCAACATGAGAATTAAATGATTTAATGGAGCTAACACAGGAAAGACTAATCGCTATAAAAGCACATCATAGTTGGTGAAGTGGAGGGTCAAGGAAAACAAAAACAAGGGAAACCCCCAGTGAGGTGGACTGACACAATAGCTGCAATAGTGGGCTCAAACAGACCAGTGATCGTGAAGATGGCACAGGACTGGGCAACGTTTCGTTCTGTTATCCATAAGGTCACCATGAGTCAGAACGGACTTGATGGTAACTAACAACAATAACACCACAAGTAAAATACCTGACCATGAAGCAGGCAATAGAGAAGGTTCTTTTTTTTTTTTTTTTCTCTTTACGTTAAGGCCAGCACTTGGAGGATTAAAGAGTGTTGTTGTAGGGGTCTAAAGTTATGGTTTACCTTTGAACCCCAAGTCCAACCAGGTACTAGGACTGAAAACGATAATCGCTTAAAAGTTGCCTGCCTGTCTGCTTTGCCTGCAAAGCTGGTCTCAGCAGACGCACTGGCAGAGCACCTGCACACATTTCCAGGACACCTCAGTAGCAGTATGGATTGCCCAACATCTGTGGGGCAGCCTGGGTGGTCACCCTCTGCTTTCTGGGGTGACTGGCATCAGTGTGACCCCTCCCGCTGGGGCTGTGCTTCTGGCTGGGGCTTGTCCTCCCGCTGCAGCCCATGGCCCAGCACGCAGAGTTCTGGGGGAGAAACATGCCTTTGCTTCAGTTCTGGGCCGCAGGGGCTGCTCCAAGGCTCGGCACCCTTCCTGGAGCTCTCCTCACTGCTGCTGCCAAGAGAGGACAGGTGCAGGTGACACTCTTTCTCTGTGGTTCCTTCTGCCTCTTCCCCATCTCCATTTTCCGGCTCACTGTCTCTCCCCACCTCTCCCTCACCCACAGGCCTGTGAATGCTGGGTGCTGGGGAGCCTGCCTTTCTTTATCAGCTGTGCCCTGAAGGCTGCTGTGCTTGTGCTGCCTGCTGTGGCCGTGCACTGTGGGGACCCAGCTCTAGGTTGTTCTGGCTGACATTGAGTCATGATCTTTTGCCTGATGCCCAGGATCCACCAGGAGCTGTGGGAGCTAGGCCTTTCTTTCGTTTTAAGAACACTTCTATTTAATAAAGGGCTGGGCTTAGCTACTTGAATTAAATAAAAAAAAAAAAAAAACCTGCTTCGCTCACTCACCACCCTTTTCCTGAACGGAGAAGATGGAAACTCTTGGCAGAGCCTAGGCCCAGCATTCAGCTAGAACAGCTTCTCAGCTGCCGGGCCTCATGTGACACAGCCTAGGAGGGGCTCTGCATGGGGGTGAGGACACCCGCAGGTGAACCTCTGCATGCTGGGCAGGATCTGGCAATCAAAGTGGAGGGTGGGCATGAGCGTGAGCAAGCCAAGGCTAGTAGGGTGGACGAGCAGGAAAGCCACGCTTGGTGATATGCTGGCCATTCCTGGGCAGAGGCAGGAGTCTGGCTGCCTGGGTTCACTTCCTAGCTCTTCCACTTAGCAGCTGTGTGACTTCCACCACATGATCTCTCTGAGCCTCAGCTTTCATATTTGTAAAATGGAGATACGAGTAGTCCCCATTTCATAGGGTACTCATAGATAGCAGCGTTGGATGAAGCATGTAAACTCTTGGCATACTAACTGGTACATACGTGCTCAGTAAATGCTTAGCTGTCACCATGGTGCTGCTTTATAGAATTAACAGAAAGTCACACCTGGAAAGGACACTAGGAACCCCCAAGTCATACAAAGCTTAGAGAGTTGGGGGCCTTGGTCAGAGCCTCAAGATCAGTCACCTCAGGGCCTGGCCTGAATCCCAGGGCCCCACATACACAAACCAGAAGCCCTTTTCTCTGGCCATGACAGCAGGTTCTTACCTATTCCCTGAGCTTTATTAAGTAGTGTGCTCAGCTCTGTGGGATCAGGCTTACAGGGGACACCAAACCAGTGGAGGACAAGTTTGCATTTGGAGCCTAACAAGATGACACATTAAGTCTGGTGAGTATATGTGATCTCTAGGCACGTTGGAGGTGTCTAAGAGGCAGTGAGGACACCACTGTGCTTCTAAGAGCTCATGTCATCCGGGTGAGCCTCTGACCTGATCGCGGTGGCCCTGCAGGTGTTCAGGGCCCAGAGAGGTCTGTGAGCCACGGCACCCACCTTACATACTTCTCACTGTGTTGCTTTGGAGCTGGGGAACGCATACACACCCCATCCATATCCCCACCCTTTGCTGCCTCTGACAGAGGGACTGGCAGAAATGGGAGGGGCATGTCCAGGGAAAGGCCTGTGGCAGGCGACTCTGGGCCAGGTTGCTGTGAGGCTGACATTGTGGCTGGACAAACAATCTGGTCCTAGACTGTGTCTTCCTCAACATCCCCCCCTGCTCCCACCTCTGCAGTGGGTTCCACCTCTGCAGTGGGTCAGGCTAGGGGCTTGATTTTCCCAGTTGCCACAACATGGATGTGGTTCTACCTGTTCCCGGAATGGCTCAGAAAGCAGGCTGCCCATCCCCTGGCCCCCTGGCCTAGGAAACTGAGTGGGGGGCTGAGAGAGCCCCTGCTTGGCCAGTCCTGTCCAGGCAAAGGCTGGTGAGCACTGCATTTAGGGGAGAAAGGTGGACTCTCTTTTCTTGAACACGCACAGTGCTCTAACATCCTGAGACCTAGAGACTGGTGTCTTGACTAGGGGATTCAACACATAGGTAACAGTTGAAGCTCAGTTAACTGAGCTTCCTGGGTAAGCCTCAGATGACTGTTCCCAACCTCCAGAGCCCCAAGATCAGGAGGATATAAACACGATGCTTTTTTTTTTTTCTAAAAAAGGGGCTCATGCCTGGCGCCGGATGACCAGAAAGGGATCGATGGCGGGTGCAGGACACAGTTTCCCCTCGAAGTAGGGTGGGTGTGGGTGCAAGCCCTGCGTGGGGAAATAGCCCTCTTCTAAGTGGCTTCTGGCTCTCTGGCAGGGGCTTGTTGCATGGTGTTGGGGAAACCAGGCCCAGTTCCCTGGCATTTTGCTTCCCCAGACTCAGGATGGCAGAAAAATGACTGCCATCTACACAGCGGTGAGTGCACAGCTGGCATGGCGTCTGCTCCCAGATGCCAAATTTAAACCTGGGCATGGAGCTGAAGGCTGAGCGTCTTCCCATCACGTGCTCACAGTCTGGGATGGCCTAAAAGTGTGGTCTCATCAGGAGGCAGGGGAATGGCTGTCATTATGTGACCTTACGCATCAACCCTGGGGAGGCCCCTGTTTGTGAATTGTCCTCTCTTCCAAAGATGCAAATTCCCCTTTCCCCACCCCAACACACAAACCCCAAGTATTGAGATCCAGGACATAAAATAATCTTTCAAGCTGCCCTATTCTGAGCAGGAGCCCTGGTGGCACAGTGGTTAAGAGCTACTGTTCGAATTCACCAGCCTTTCCTTGGAAACCCAATGGGGCAGTTCTACTCTGTCCTATAGGGTCACTGTGCATTGGAATCAACTTGATGGCAACAGGTTTTATTCTGAGGAGAAGCCTGAGAGAAGGGCATTGTTTTCTTCTTGAACAAGTTTATGTGACTTTATTACTGCTCCTGCTGTTTTAAAATGTTAGTGTTTCTAATTAATGCTGTTTTATGGTCCTTGTTCTCGCAAGCTCTTCTCCTGAAGGACACCGTTTTAGAAATCTAATAACCGAGTAAGTGGCTGGCGTGAGGACTAATGTGCTAACATTTATAGACGTTCTTAGATGAAGGCCACTGTGCTGTAGGAAGCTCATTTTAGATTTAAGAAAAAAGCAATGTTACGTTAAGATTCTTGCAAAAAATAATCAGTATTTCATTTCTTTCAAGTGGTTTATATAACTATAATAAGGCAAAACTTTCCTGAGATAATATCTTTATTTATAATTGACTGCTGAGTACTTTGTAAAAAATGACCATTTGTGCCGTGGCAGACTGTGAAGTCTGCAACACACATCACTCTGGCAGAAATTAACTGCTGATTTACACAAGGGCAACGCAAAGATAGCAGGGACTGGTGTTGGTTGAGCTTTGTCTGATCTCATATCAAGACATATTGATAAGAGTTTCTCTCTGGTAAGCCTAAACTTTACATTTGTCTTCTCCAAGCCAGAGTTCCAGAAAAGGCACACTGTCCCGGATATCCTGTTAAACGACCACTTGAGATTGTGAGTCCTTCTTTCAATGGCTCGAGCAAAGGACTAAGGCCCAATGCCCAGGCCTGTCTGCACGGCTGGACAGTGACATACAAGTCAGTTGCTCCTGATGAGAAAAGTGCACTTGGAACTCGGTCTGCCAAGGGCAGAAGTGGCACCTGTCAGCCTGGATTCTGATGAATACCCCATGAAGAGTCTTGTTCTTACTCTGTAACCTCTGGTGGGGAGGCAGAGAGCAAACTAGGTTGGAGGACAAGTGGGGCTAGATGCTTGAGGGTGTGGAGAAGCCCAGTATTTACATGCCAAATCTCCAGGACCAGCCCTCCTCAAAGCACGGTTTGGGGGCCTCTGGGTATCCTCAAGACATTTTCACGGGGTTCAGGAGGTCTAAACTATTTTCATAATAATCTCCCACCATCACTAGTTGTTGTCGAGTCGATTCTGACTGATGGTGACTCCATGAGTGTCAGAAGCAGACTGCCACATCTTTCTCCCGAGGAGCGGCTGGGTATTCGAACTGCAGATCTTTCAGTGAGCAGCCAAGTGCTTTAACCACTGCACCATCAGGGCTCCTTAACGTTTTCACACTAAGATATTATCTACCTTTGTCACTCGCATTCTCTTGTGAATGTAGAGAGGAGTTTTCCAGAGTCTGCATGACATGTGAGATCACAATAGATGGACCGCAGAAGCCAGTATGAGAATCCGGCTCCCTTCTCTTAAACCAGACACTGAACAGATTTGCAAAAAAGGAAGACAATGCACTCTTTCCACTAAATTTGTTTGTTTTGGAAAATATAGTTATTTTTCATAAGAGTATATTATTTATGTTAACACATAATGGGCTTATTTTTGTTCTCTAAAAATTTATTAATAAGTAATTAATAAACTGAAGAATATAGCAAAAATCATTAGATATAACCCACAAAAACAAAAGCTCTTCCGGGTTCTCAAATTTTAAGAGTTTAAAGGAGTCTTGGGACCAAAACGTTTGGGAACTTCTACCATGGACGCTGGTCCACGGCAGTAAACCAGCAACAACAGAAGCTAGGCTGCTGGTTCTGGGTAGGACGGTGGGGTGACGCGAGTTAACTACCAGGGCAAGTCGCTTCACCGGCTTTCCCATCTATAAAATAAAGGAGGGAGGATTGGACTAACTTGATTGTTTGGGGCTAACTTGATTGTTTTAAACCTTATTTTTAATACAAGAGAAACTCTTTTCAATGCAAATCTTTCTCAGAACCCAAAATGTGTTAACAGTTAAGGTAAGAACACAACTGCTCAAGGCTGAAGTGGGGGAGACGGGGACCCCATTCCCTGGGTTCTATTTCCCAGCTGCCTCTTTTCTTGGAGCACAGTTTGAAAACTACTGACCAGAAGATCCTAGGGCCCATTAGCTCTGCCCTTCTCTATTCTCAGTAATGGCAGCGTGGCAGCTGAGGACGCTCCTTACCTGCATTGGCTGAGCAGGCCTTCGCTAGCTGCGCCAGAGCAGCCTGGCCAGCAGTCAGAAGCAGTCCTTCTGACGAAAGGCTGAGGGTTGAGGACACACAGAGCCACCCTCCTCTGTGACTCCATCCTCCGTCGTGGCCCTGAGCTGCTCCTCCAGCACCCTGCTGGTGTTCCAAGAGAGCCCCCAGCCGCTGGTGGCAGAGATAGTGGGGTCAGTGGGTGCAGTCTTGAGAGTGGTGCCTTAGCTTCAAATACAGAGGAGGTGGCCGGACAGAATATGGAATAGGTATTCCCAGACACTTTGGCCACGGCTGATGGACTGTCTTCAGAATCTCTCCCTTCTTTGCACCCCTGAGAGAGAGACTCTCGGGGGGATGTTGAGGGCCCGGAGGAAGGGGAACTTACTTCTCTGCTCTGGGTAGGGGGGCTTGCTGGGGGAGGGCTGGGCAGCTTGTGCTGGGGCGGTGGGGATGTTTGTTTCTTCGGTGTTGGTGGGCTTAGCACCCTGGGGCTCACTGGGGGGCTTGGAGCTCCAGTGCTCAGTAGTGGGCTAGGGGACCTGTGTACAGGGGGGAGAGGTGGCTGGGCAGGCCTGTGGGAGGAGGGTAGGCTCGGGTGTCTCTTCTCAGCTCGGGGTGCCCAGTGCACCCTTGTGGGAGAGGCCTTCTTGAGCACCAGGGGGCTTCTCTCTTGGTTCTGTCTTGAGGCCTCAGGAGAATGTGACCCCCGTGTTGGCCTGGCCAGGCTGGGTTCTGAGGTCCTGTTTGGCCCAGATGTGTGGCTAGAGTGGGGCCAGGTTATCGCCTTCCGGGGCTGCTTCTCGGGGTTTTGGCTGGTGGCTGGTTGGTGGTTCAAGTCCAAGGCAACCTTTCTGGGATTGCAGCCACTCTTGCTGCTCCCTGGCCCTGTGCTGCGGGGCCGGGTGGGGCTGGCGATGCCCTTGCTGGGCAGCAGGTCAATGGGGCTCATGGAGGCTCTCAGCTTTGGGGACTCCCACGTTCTCCTGGCAGGGCCAACCCCTTCCAGCCTGGGCATGCTGGTTGCTCCAGGGGAGCTCCCTGCTGACACACTTCTTTCTGGGGGCTCCAGAGAAGTGAATGATTTGTCCATCAGGATTTCTGGAGGCGGTGGAGGGAGGTGCTCTGGATCTTGCTCTATCTCACCATGGACCTCACTTTTGGAGGCTTCTGCTGTAAGCAGAGGGGGAAAGATAGGTGCAAAGGGCCTCCAGCCTGTGTCCATGTTGAGTGTGTCTCTGCCTGCTGCTGGAGAAATGCGGGGCTCAGGGTACAAAGGGGCAATCCCCCTATAAATGGGAAATCTGGGAGGCATGATGGGGACTCCCCATTTCCTGAGGCAGGAGCTTGGCTTGGAGTCCTTGGAATCCCCCAGTGTCCTCAGACTGTCTGTGGGACTGAAAGTTTCAATCAGTTTCTTGACTGATGTTCTGGTGGGGTGGTCTCCAGTGTGGCGGTCCTCGGTCCTGGGAGCCTTGCTTCCCTTCTCACCTGATGGGGTGGTGTTGGGATGCTGCTCAGCTGTCCCCTTCCAGGGCTGCTCACCCTTGGGTTGGGGACTGCACTTCTGTAAAATGCTCTTGTCCTGACTAGGCAAAATGCTGAAGTTCTTGGTGAGGGATGCCTTCAGCTTGCTGATGGTGTTACTCGGGGTCACCCGGCAGTTGTTATCTGGCCACAAAGCTGCTGCTCTGGGCTTCAGACTCTGCTTCTTGCTGTGCCACTGGCGCTGTGTACCCAGGGCATAGAACGCCTCCAGCCTCTGACTGAGGTCCCTCTGGACCCTCTGCAGTTCCTGGAGGGTGTGGTCCTCTGTGTGGCTCTTAATACTTGCCTCTGACTGGGACCTCCTCTGCCTCACCAGAGTTCTCCTGCTGCCACTGACCGTGCTGGGTCTTGGCGGGACCATCGTCATCGTTCTCCTGTCATCCTCCTCAGCCCAGTCCTGGGGCCCAGAGGGCACGGGGACAAATTTGATCCTTTCACTGATGGCTTCCTTCATTTTCAGAATCATTTCCTGGGCCTGGGGGCTCCTAAGCCTCCTGGAGTAAGGCTGAAATGTGCATTCCCAGCCAGCAGGTGAAGACTTTGGCCTTGGAAATGCAGCTTTGTCCTGCCATGCACACGGACTCAGGCTGCTACCTTTGTCTTCCTCCTCCTTGTCTCGGCTGCTGTCCTCATCTTCACTGAGGGATGGAGAGGCCATCAACCTGGAGCCTTTAGAGAGGCATGCTTCCACAGGGACCCCAATTCCAAGGGAATCACATGGAGTGCTTTTGCCTGGCCCAAAAGGCCCGGAGGAAATAGTTTCTGGGTTTGTGTTGGAAGGACATTGAATCCCCATTTCCCCTTGTGCTGCTGGCTGAAACTTTGCAGTAGGAAGCCTTGAGAGTGGACAGTCTTGGGATCTGTCTGAACCCACCCAGAAGGGACTTGGCTGCCAGGCATATCCTGACGGCCTGGCTTCCACTTGGAGTGAAATTACTGGCTTCTGTTCTGTGGGCTCCAGCACAAAGTCCCAGCTGGCTTGCTTTCCCAGCTTGTCCAAGGACTGCACGGATTCATTGTCAGCACCAATGCCACTGTCCTCAGAGAACAAGGGGAGTCCCTCCACCCCAGAGTCACCAGGGCCACTTGCCAAGCTCTCTAGTTGCCCTAGAACCCTTAAGAGCTGCTCATCCACGCCCCTCTTTATGCTCAGCTTCTTTTCCAAGTGGCTTGCAGTGGAGTGGAAGTAGCTGCTGGAGCCCTCCAGGAGGCTGCAGGTGAGTGAGGCCACTGTGCCATTGAGCACCTGCATCTTGCTGACTGTGTACTGCAGGAGCTGCTCTAGGAGATCTGGCTGCTCCTGGGGCTCTCCTTCCCTCAATGGCCAAGCCAGATCAGCCCTAACTTCCTGTAGGAGTGCTTCTCCATCCTTGGAGATCTTACCCAAGAGCTGGTTGACCTCATCAAAGCACAGCAGCAGGAAGCTGACCATGGACTGCAATAGCTCCTGGGTCTGGGTGGCCTGATGGATGATGCACAGAATTGCTTCATATTTGGAGAGGCTGGAGTGCAGGTAGGTATAAGTGTTGTGGTGGGCCTTTACCAGGGGCTCAGGAAAGTCCACCTTGCCTGTAGACCCATGAGGAGGAAGGACAGTTCGGGAGCGATGGCCCTGTTTGCCCAGCCTGTGGCATTTTGGCTTCCTTTCCTGTGTGGAGGTCTCTTGGGTATTACTTTCCTCACTCAATTCCCCAGAAAAGGTTGTCCCCTGTGACCCTTGGGAGCTCTGTGTCTTAAACAGAATATCCTTAGCCATGTGGCTCTGTGATTTCGTGAGCTGGGATGCGGAGGTTTTGGCTTCTACGACCCATCTTTCCATATCTTTCCTTTTGCCTGAAGCAGGATCTCCCATGAGTTGACAAAGACCTTCAGTTGTGGTTTGGTTCCACCTGGAACTTGGCTGCTCCTTGGCTGGCCTCTGTCCTTGGGGCCGGCCACCACCAGAGTCAGAGCAGGTGGAGCTTTTAAGCAGCAAAGGGGTAGAGCATCTTTCATTGTCTGCCTGACGCCCTGGCAAAATCACCTTTGGCTTTTTCAAAAACTGAATGCCACTCTTTGCAATACTGTTCACAATGTCACTGTGGGAAGGTGTGCACCCCATGATTTTAGCTTGTAGTCATCTTCCACCCACAACCTTAACAATTTTCAGAGAATTGTATTTGAAAGGGAAACAAAAGACAGTCTTACTAGTCCATCCAGGCAATTTCCAGACGTCCATGGCACGATGTCCTAAACTTGAAACCAGCTTCCCTTGATGCCAACTTCCTTGGGCCCCCTGCGAAGATGTAGTGGTGTCTGCCGTCCTGTTATTGTGACTCTGTGCTGTTAGTGAAGGTTAGGGGCCTCAGCCTCAGGGATTACAGGCCTGTGTTTTGCCCGTGTCCTGACAGATGTGGATGGCAAGTGGAGCTTAAGCCTATTAGGTTAATCATGCCCCAGCCAGTTAGCACTCATAGTGTGTTCTAATATAGAACTTCTCAGCCTTTGCTATATTGGGAAACAGATTATTTTTGCACATGCTTGTGCTTTTAATTCTATTCAGATGCCTGCCATGTGAATCCCAGAAAAGTGAGGCATAATTGCAAAAGGCTCTGGAAGAGACACATTTGTGGAAGAGAAGCGAGGGCTCCCGGATTACAAATCTTGGCAGAGAAGTGACCTTCGGAATGTAATAAGGGCAAACCAGCTGAGTATGCGCCAACCCGCTGTGGTCAGAAGGGACTCAAAAAACACAATAGACAGTAATTGAGGCAATGCATTGTTGTTTGTGTGACTTATAACAACACTATGATTCTAGGGATGGAGAATGTCTCTTAATCAGAGATTGAAGAAGACAAGGCTTCTTTCCTTTGCATTGGAGAAGTGAGTTAGATAGCAGGGAAGCCATCCTCCCTGATTTGGAGGGGGAAACAGAAAAGTTCCCTGCCATGTAAAGCTCAAGGCTGGTCACTGGGGACCGTGGGGACTCAGGAAGGGCAGCACTTCATGGGAGGAGGCTTGTTATTAACTTTTCATAGGGAAACCTGCTAAAACTGGGCAATGGAGAGCCATTTAATCATTAGAAGTAGAACGCAAGGGAAAACACGTGTTTTTCTTTTCAAGTACAGCTCTCTACTCAATCTGAGCACGGTGCCCTTCCGCTTGCTAAGGGGAGCAGCCACCCATTTTAAACTCCTTTTAAGCTTTATTTGCTGTCGGTCAAATCTAGAGTAAGGGTTTGGAGTAGGGAGGCTTGGGTTTAAATCCTGACTTTTCTCTTCTTGGTTGAGGGATCTTTTGCCAGTTACTTAACTTCCCTGAGCCAAAGCTCATCTTTGAAATGAGGACAATGGTACCTCCTTCCTGGAGCTGTTGTGGGATTACGTCAATTAAGGCTTGGTAATTGGCCCACTGCCTGCACATGGTGGTGGAGGTGTTGTTAGCTGCTGTTGAGTCAGCTCTTGACTCGTGGAGACCCCGTACACAACAGAATAAAATGCTGTCTGGTCCTGCACCATCCTTACGAGTGATTGCAGCTTGGACCATTTTGATCCATAGTGTTTTCGTTGGATGATTTTCAGATATACATGGCCAAGCCTTTCTTCCTAGTCCGTCTTAGTCTGGAAGCTCCACTGAAACCTGTTTAGCATCAAAGCAACATGCAAGTCTCCACTGACAGATGGGTGGTGGTTGTGCATGAGGTGCTTTGGCTGGAACTCAAACTTGGGTCTCCCACATGGAAGGTGAGAATTCTAGTACTAAACCACCTAATGTAATTCCTTATTCCTTTCCCCCGGCAGCTAGACCACTTAGAATAATACACATCCAAGAAAACTCATTGGTTTGTCAAGGAACAAACCTCAATCCTCCCCTGAACTGTCTGGAAATGATTGCCTACTGGTGGCTCGGAGCCCTCTCTAGATCACTGTTTTTGGCTTTCCTGTATCTGTGCAGGATGACCCTCTGCCCACACACTGCTGCCTCAAGATGTTCCTAATGTCTTATTGTGTAATTTCTGATCTTCACACACAATGATTCCCACTGTCTATAGAAGGAAGAAGAGCTTTTATTTAACCATCTTTGGCCATTTACATTGTTGTCAATTTTTAATTTACCTAAGAGGAAAAATATTGCATTGAGCATCTTAGAACATCCTCTGAAGTTACTATGACTGGAGTTGGTATCTTCACTTTATAGTCGTCATTTTATCTTACTGCACCCTGTGCAACCAATGAAACTAACAGTGTGGGTGTCAGGAGGGTGTCAGAAACAGAAAGGACTTACAGATGCCTCATCTGCCGGGAGCAAGCTGGAGAGTGGCTGCTGGGGCCTGTGGAGCCTGGTGTCCATCACAGCATATGTCCCAGAATGAGTAATTAATAAAGTTCTCTGATCTGTTTATTTGAAAATGAACCGCTGAATCAGTGCCTGGGGGGGACCTGTGTTAGGCATCGGGATGTTGTCTCATTTCTGTCACAGGCTGGGCTGGCCTCGTAAACAAGGATCCACGTGGGAGGACTCCTCTCCCCTTCGACTGTGCCGTTTAATAGAGTGAAAAGCTCATCTGAAGGCTCTTGTGTAAATTCTTCTCCTCTTGGGATTTGGGCCCCTGCTTGGATCATCTTTGTGAAAACTTTTGATCTCAATGGCTGAAGTTATTTCCAAGTCAATGATCAAAATCAAAGTATTTGCCTGGAGGATCAGCTGTCAGAAAGCTCTGTACCTTGCAGACTGCTTTTCTTGACTATTCCAAATAATTTAGGAAGCTCTTTATTCATTGCCACTCATTTTTCTAAATTTTGTTTATTTTGTTATTGTTGTTGAAAATATGCACAGCAAAACATACACCTCAATTCAACAGTTTCTACATGTACAATTTAGTGACATTGATTACATTCTTTGAGTTGTGCAACAATTCTTACCCTCCTCTTCTGAGTTGTGTTGCTGCCCCCTAATCTTTCCAGTTGCTGTTGTGACTTTGACACCATATGGATAGTTCTTAAAAGAACATAATGCTGAAGACAGACACTTTTTACTAATTAAGCTAAACTATTATTTGGTTTTAAGAATATTTCAGGGGATATTTTTGGTTTAAGGTTTAAAGATTATCTCAGGGCACTAGTTTCAGGGGTTCATCCTCCCTCCATAGCTCCAGAAAGTCTGGATTCCATGAGAATTTGAAATTCTGTTCTGTATATTCTCCCTTTTGATCAGGATTCTTCTATAGAATTTTTTTTTTTTTTTTTGTCTTTAGGTGAAAGTTTACAGCTCAATTTCTCATACAAAAATTTATACACATATTGTTATGTGACATTAGTTGCAATCCCTACAATGTGACAGCAGACTCCCCCTTTCCACCCCGGGTTTCTTTTGTCCGTTCAACCAGTTCCTCCTGTCCCTTCCTGCTTTCTCATCCTGCCTCTGGTTAGGAGTCACCCATTTGGACTTGTGTATCTGATTGAACTAAAAAGCACACTCCTCACGAGTATTATTTTTTGTTTTATAATCCAGTCTAACCTTAGTCTGATGAGTGGGCTTCAGGAATGGTTTTAGTTCTGGATTAACAGAGTGTCCAGGGGCCATATTTTTGAGGGCTCCTCTGTCTCTGTCAGACCATTAATTCTGGTCTTTTTATGTGAATTTGAGTTCTGCTCCACACTTTTCTCCCACTCTGTCCAGGACTCTCTGTTAGGTATTCCCCGTCAGGGCGGTCATTGGTGGTAGCTGGGCACCATCTGATTCTTCTGGTCTCAGGCTGATGGAGTCTCTGGTTTATGTGGACCTTTTGTCTCTTGGGCTAATATTTTCCTTGTGTGGTGTTCTTCATTCTCCTTTGCTCCATGTGACTTGGGACCAACTGATACATCTTAGATAGCCACTTGCTAGCTTTTAAGACCCCAGATGCCACTCACCAAAGTGGGATGCAGAACATTTTCTTAATAAACTTCGTTATGCCAATTGACCTAGATGTCTGCCGAAACTATGGTCTGTAGGCCCAGCCTCAGCTACTCCGTCCCTCAAAGTGTTTGGATATGTTCAGGAAATGTCTTAGCTTTTACTTTTGTCCAGTTGTACTGACTTCCCTTGTATTGTGTGTCGTCCTTCCCTTCACCTGAGATGATCCTTGTCTACTATCTAGTTAGTGAATTTCTCTCCCCCCCCACCCTTGTAACCATCAAAGAATGCTGTCTTCTGTGTTTAAACATTTTCTTGAGTTCTTATAATAGTAGTTTCATACAGTATTTGTCTTTTTGCAATTGACTAATTTCACTAAGCATAATGCCCTACAGATTCATCCATGTTGTGAGATGTTTCTCAGATTCATCATTGCTGTTTATCATTGCATAGTATTCCATTGTGTGTATGTACCATAATTTGTTTATCCGTTCATCTGTTGATGGGCACCTAGGTTGTTTCCGTCTTTTTGCTATTGTGAACAGTGCTGCAATGAACATGGGTGTGCATATACCTACTCGTATGACGGCTCTTATTTCTCTAGGATATATTACAAGGAGTGGGATTGCTGGATCGTATGGTACTTCTATTTCTAGCTTTTTAAGGAAGCACGAAATCATTTTCCAAAGTGATAGTACCAGTTTATGTTTCCTACCAGCAGTGTATAAGTGTTCTGGTCTCTCCACAAACTCTCCAGCATTTATTATTTTGTGTTTTTTGGATTAGTGCCAGCCTTGTTGGGGTGAGATGTTATCTCATTGTAGTTTTGATTTGCATTTCTCTAATGGCTAATGATTGTGAGCATTTCCGCATGTATCTGTTAGCTGCCTCAATGTCTTCTTTGGTGAAGTGTCTGTTCATATCTTTTGCCCATTTTTTAGTTGGGTTATTTGTCTTTTTGTTTTTGAAGTGTTGCAGTACCTTGCAAATTTTAGAGATTAGACCCTTATTGGATATGTCGTAGCCAAATTTTTTTTCCCAGTCTGTAGTTTCTCTTTTTTACTCTTTTGGTGAAGTCTTTTGATGAGCATAAGTCTTTGATTTTTAGGAGCTCCAGTTATCTAGTTTCTCTTCTGGTGTTTGTAGATTGTTAGTTATGGTTTGTATTCTGTTTATGCAATGTATTAGGGCTCCTAGTGTTGTTCCCATTTTTTCTTCCATGATCTT